CTTGCTTCAGACTCTGCTTTCTAAGCTAAGACAGCAAACTGATAAAGGTCTAATTTACAAAACAAACCAAAACAAATTCCAATATCAATTATAGTCATACAAAATAATCTGAAATAAATACCAACAAATAGAATTTCTGAACATTAAAGCATTACACAGAAGAAACAAAATATAGTTTAGTATTAAGGAATTTATATTAGCTATTCAATAAATACTTTTTACGTAAAAACAATAATTCATCTTAGATTCCAGATAAAAGCTGAAATATGAATATGTATATTCAAATATAAAAACACACATAATTATATATTTGATAATAATGATAATAAGTGTTTGATAGTAATGTACTTGATATATTCCTATTAAAATCATTGAGGTAAATGAGGAGGAGAGAAGAGAAGGAGGGAAAGAAATACACCATGTGTCTGTATCTGGAGACAGCACCTTTAAATAGGTGATTAAGTGAAAATGAGGTCATATGAGCGGGCCCGAATCCAGTCTGACTGATATCCTTAAAAGAAGTTTGGACATACAAAAGAGACGCCACAGACACGTGTCCACAGAGGAAAGACTGAATATGGACACAGTGAGAAGGCAGAAGGCCGTCTGCAAGTCAAGGAGAGAGGTCCAAACCTGCTGACACATTGATCTTGGCCCCCCAACTCCAGAACTGTGAGAAAATTAATTTCTGTTGTTTAAGTCACTGAGTCTGTGATATTTTGTTTATGGCAGCCCTAGCAAACTAATACACGGATCAAACTGCTGTGAACATCTTGATATCCTGTACTTATTTTTTTTGGTGGACATATGTTTTCTTTTCTCTTGAGCAAATGCCTTGGAGTGGGGTTAGATTTATGTCTAATGTTAACAGAAACTGCCAGAGTTTTCTCCACAGTGGTTGTATAATTTTATACACCCATCAGCAACATACGAAAGTTCCAGTTGTTGTATTCATGCCAACGGTTGGTGTTAGTCTTTTTATTTGAGCCATTCTAGTGGGTATGAGATGGAGTTTAATTTGCTTTCTTGAAGACTAAAAACATGGAACACGTTTTCATATGCTTATTTGACATTTATTTAGTTTTTCGTTGTGTTATCTATCTGTTCAGTTGATCTATTTTTGAGTAGTTCTACTTCATTTTGGATAGTTCATCTTTATATTATTTATGAAAGTCCTTATTAAAAAATGGATGAAAGTACTCAGTCAGATATACCAGAAATATTTTTTAACAATATCTTGCCTACTCATTTTAATGGTTACTTTTGCTGAACAAAAAATTTTAATTTTGATGGGAACAAATTCATGGTTTTCCTTTAGGTTGATGCCTTTTGTGTCCTGTCCAATACATCTATACTTTCCAAGACTGCAAACATTTATCCTATGTTTTCTTCTAGAAGCTTGATGGCCGGGGCTTTTATTTTTATGTTCTATGATACAACTTGCTTTAATTTTTTGAGTACGAAGTAAAATGGCTTCAACACAACTCTTTAGAAAGATCCTTGTACGAATCTTGTACTTCTTCCTTTAGGCTGATTTTTTTTTAAATAAAAAGAAAAATATTCACAAGATAAAACTTAGAATGTATTTTTCTTACTCCAATAGCAGATTCCTCTTCTCCTATTCCTCCAGGGACAGGAAAAGCCACATGGGTCTCTCTCTTCTTTCCTATAAAGGGCTGGACATTTTTTGAAATTTAGTTCACTTAAGTTTCTGATATTGTCTGCTCTCTAGTGTTTTGTTTGTTTGGTTGGTTTTTTTGTTGTTGTTTTAGTAAGGAGAGACATTATTTAGAGGAATTACTGTAAGGTTGATGAAAGAGTCTACTACAGTAAGAAGAGGGGCCTATTCCAATCAGGAGACAACTCTGACCATAAGATCTACAAACATTTCTTTAAAAAAAATATATATATATATCTATATATATAGGGGCCAGCCAAGTAGCATAGCAATGAAGTTCATGCACTCTGCTTTGGTGGCCTGGGGTTCAACAGTTCAGATCTGGAGCACAGACCTAGCACCTCTCATCAAGCCATGCTGGGGCAGGCGTCCTACATATAATGTAGAGGAAGATGAGCACAGATGATAGTGCAACAAAAAAAGAGGAAGATTGATGGCAGATGTTAGCTCAGGGCTAATCTTCCTCCAAAAAAAATATATATATATATATGATTTGGCAACTTCTCGGTCTGTTTTATTAGTTTGAGAGATTATCTCTTGTGAGACCTAGATCCTTTCTAAAGATCCTAACTGAAAGTGGAATTTCCAAATATATTGCTTTTCCCTGCTTTCTACATCTTCCTATATATTTTGTTTATTTTTCCTACTTGGAGTCTTGAGAGAGAGAGAGAGAGAGAGAGATATCCATATACTATTTTTAGTTTTTCTAGTATTACTGTTCCAAATTTAATTAATATAACCAAGTCTATATTTTTCATTTACTACTTCTAGAAATAAAGTGCTATTTCATTTTATTTTACAGACTTTCCCCGATCATTTCAAACTCCCAACTTTTATTATGAAGCTTTAGAAATAATTGTACTAAGACATTATATAATATATATTATTATTACTATTTTGTTACATACAATCTATTTAAAACTTTGAAATATTTTATTTAAATAATATCATCTCAAACATTTTTAAGCATTTGTTTTATATTTTAATAAATCTAATGCTCACTGCTCCATTTTTATAACATGGCTCATCATTCCTGATAGATTAATTTTGAGGTCTGCCATGGTTAGCTGGAATAATGTTTAGTTGGATAAGAATTATTATTTTAGAAGAATATACAGGGTCCATAAATCTGATTCATTACATGTTCGAGACTATTTTCTTCCTCAGTGTATTACAGAAATCACTCCACTCTCTTCTGACATTGAATTCTATGTAGAAAAAAAGAGGAAAAAAAATCACCTACCACAAAAAACAGTCACTTGTATTTTCGCATCTTAGATACTTGTTTTTTCTCTCTGACTTCCATAGGATGATTTAGTTACTTATTTTTAGTAATTTAATAATATATACTCTAAAACTGTAAGTTGTCACCTTTTTCTTTAATCTTTGTGCATTTGGGAGTGAGGGGAAGAAAAGAGCTCATAAAAATCTATCTGTGCACAATATTTTTCAAAGTTTATAATATGAAGTTGTGCTTCTCACCTTGAGCAGTGTTAGGAAATGCTTTACTTATTTTACTTATTTTTCTAATTTTTTTACTTTGAGAGAGCTAAATTCTATTTTATTTTTTTAATTGAACTCTCCTAGAAAATCTCAATTTTCTCTCAATTGTTAAACTACCAAGTGTTGCATCTCTGATAGCAAAAACCCAAACTGGAAAACATATATCAAAAATATGTATATTTAAGTTCACTTTTAAAAAAACATGAAGTTTAATATTTTGGCTGCGATAGTTAGTATTATTATTCAAACATTTAAGTACACTTGTATTCAAATTTTGAGAACTGAATGGGAAATTACTTACAGTTTTACATTTTGCAAATATGGAATCACACTGCATTTTATTACTAAATGTCTCTATTTTTTCTCAAGATGCTCTAATTCTATCAAGTTGGCATTTTATTTCCCAAATCTGAATAAATTAGCATGGCATAAAAAGCCCTTCATACTTCCACTCCATCTATCTACCTATTTATCTTTCCATCCAGCAAGATCAATCCCTCCAAACAACCTAAAAAAAAGTCAGATTCAGGGGCCGGCCCAGTGGCACAGAGGTTAAGTTCGCACATTCCGCTTCTCAGCGGCGGGGGTTCGCTGGTTCGGATCCTGGGTGCAGACATGGCACTGCTTGGCATGCCATGCTGTGGTAGCCGTCCCAAATATAAAGTAGAGGAAGATGGGCACGGATGTTAGCTCAGGGCCAGGCTTCCTCAGCAAAAAAGAGGAGGACTGGCAGTAGTTAGCTCAGGGCTAGTCTTCCTCCAAAAAAAAAAAAAAAGAGAAAAAATCAGATTCAGTTACTCAAAATCGCTTAAGATTCTATATTCTACCTGAATATCTATGTAAATGTCACTTCTGCTGCCTGAATTACTCATTTGTTTTTCTCTCTTTGTAGAGACTCAGACTTGTCTTCAATATCCAAATCACATGCCATGTTCTCCATCTGAAACACAAGGGAGGCTTTCACACCCATATATACCTACTGTGTTAGTAGCGATTTTTTCCTTTCTTTCTTTCTTTCTTTCTTTCTTTTGGTGAAGAAGATTGGCCCTGAGCTAACATCTGTTGCCAAGCTCCCTCTTTTTGTTTGAGAAAGATTGTCCCTGAGCTAACATCTGTGCCAGTCTTCCTCTATTTTGTATGTGGGATGCTGCCACAGAATGGCTGATGAGTGGTGTGTAGGTTCACGCCTGGGATCCAATCCTGTGAACCCTGGGCTGAAGCAGAGTGTGCACACTTAACCACTATGCCACCAGACTGATCCCAATATAGCAGCAATTTTTACAAAGTATTTCAGTTACTTGTTTGTACTCCCTGCTAGATTTTGTGCTCCTGGAAATTAAGGACCATGTCTTACTAATCTTCATCTTAGTGCCTAGAATAAAATATGGCCTGAACATTTTTAATATTGCTAAATGAATGGACCAAAAGAGTTCTGTGGCCACACAGCTAATTTTCCCTTAATTATTGAATCACATTTCCATATTTTTTTTATTAAATAAGTCTAGTTTAAAATTCACCAAAATCTATTTGTCACTGAGAATAATGAAATAGAGCAAAGGCTTACAATTTTTGAGACTTTGTCCAACTTAGTAATAACCTCTCAATACTTTATATTTATCACAGATTCCCTGTCACTATCCCTTCTTATTGAAAGATCTTTGGTATTTTTAGATATAGAATATTTCAAAAGTATAACCTAAATTTAAGGTACATGTACAGAGATTTAGGCGGACAGGGCTAACTATGCATTAGTTCTATGAGTACAAATTCTTTTGATTGTGATGTCAATAGCTTAATTCTAGACTATTCTCTCAAGTAAAGCAGAAATAGTAGCCAAATTGGCTGCACTATGTGTAAAAGATGCATTATCCATGATAGAAGCTACGGGAGGTCAGAAACTGATTATCAGTTAAATGGAACAAAAAAAAAAGAGGTAAAAATTACAAGTTGAACAATAAATTTTCAATATAAAAAGAACAAGTACAAAATAATTTTCCTTGGCAGCATTTGGTATTTTAGCATATTTCTGACTTGAGGTTGTGTATCTTATTGCTTAAAAGTTTCAACTTGAGGGATTAGGCTCACATGTGAGGGGACGGACTATAATTAGTTCTTGGGTGGTGAACATGATATAATCTACACAGAATTCAAAATATATTACGATGTACATCTGAAAGCTATATAATGTTATAATCCAATGTTACTTCAATAAAAAAAAATTTCAACTTGAAAGGAACTCCACTTGACTCAAAGACAAGATAATATTGCTATTGTAATTTTAATATTAATTTTTTTAAATAGAGGAAACAATTATAAAGTCTTCTTGACACTGATCAAAAAACCTGATGCTGAGTTCTTCAAACTCCTAACAGATATCTATTTCATGTCTTTAGTCACACGGCATACTTCTACCAGCTGAGAAAAGGTTATTTCAGATTTTAAAAACTCTGCCAGAATTATAAATATCTATTTGTAGGAACACAGAGTAAAATACACATTGTTTTTCACAAAGAGAAACATTAATGAAAATATTGATAATAAAACTATTAAATTCATTCTACTCTCAAGTAAGTGGTGATTTCAAATTAGAAAAAGAAAAGCCAAAATTTATAGCCCGTACAACTCTCATCTTTTTGATTTTTCTCTTGGCTGTTGCTAGTAATGATCAAAGTATTAGTGTTACCAGATAACCATCTCCCCTAACAATCTCTTTTATGATACTTGTTGTTTTTGGAATTAAATAATAATTCAAGATAATAGCATTTTTCAATATCTTATCTGGGATCTCTTGCTGCTCTGGTTAATGTCATTGTAGCCTTAATCTCAGTTAAGATACTGTTTCCTTCTTTCTTTATAATATCTAATTGTTGTTCTGTGATTTAATTTAATTTCCCACAGATATATGCTTTCCTCTTAAGACTTCAGAAATAAACCAATGTACCTCATTTTTGTCCTTAAAAGTTCTGAGATTGCTTATAAATCCTTAATTATAAAGTGGATAGAAAATACATTTTATGGGATTAGTTATCTCCTCTGTTTTTGTCACTACAACCACAGTTCCTAAAATAGCGGCTAACACATGGTAAGTATTCACTAAATATTTGTGGAATAAATAAATGAGCGAATGCATGAACTCATATAGAGCAGAATGAATTATTCTCATTCTATTTGCACTGGCAATTTAAGCTATAGCCTCTGTAAAAGGACCTTTATTTGTTTTAAAATAGTCTGATAATCAGGAGCCTCAGTGTGAGTCACCTTCAAAGTCAGCGATTTAGCTTGTCTACACGTGCCCCCTGCCTCCCAAGAAGAATAATAGCCTGTACCCTCAGTGTCACATAAGGTGGCCTCTGCATTGCGATATCTTGTTCCTTTTAGTTGTTTTCTGTTCATAGAAAGCTCCTTGGCAGTAGCTTCGAGCAATCTGAGGACTTGAATGGAAAACTAAGAGCCAAACAAGCTCCAGAAGTAACTTTGTGATATTCTGCTCACATCCTGGATGTTTTGATAATGCTGCTGCCTCTCTCTGAGTTATGCCTTACGTTTCAAATGAGATTGACTACGCTGCTGTTACTGAACTTTGAAAATGCCTTCAGCAATGCCGTAAAATCTACTGTAATGCCGAACAATTGAAACCTGTAGAGCTTGCTTCAACTGGAAGAGTTAGAATGTTCTTGGCAAGGGAATGTTTACTCCAAGATAAATGAATTTTCGTTCTCTATACCCCATTTATATGTAATATGACTAATGAACAATCTTTATAACATAAAGATCACTTTGCACAAAAGGTGATACAATTAGCATTATTGAAAAATGTCATTCAGTTTACATAGCGATTTGGTACAGAAAATTTAACATTGATGAAAATTAAATGGCAACTTTATTTTTCTTAACTGCTACTGGTCAGAAAGTGACCTGAAAAATAGTTATTTCTTTCAAACTCTATAAATTGAGTTGAATAGAGGTAGAAAGATATAGATTATCATAAATTCCCAGGAAATGATTTTAGCTATCAATGAGCGAATTAGACTTTTTGCTACTACTGCCTTTCCTACTGATTTCAATTACCTTCAAGCAGACCCAATAAAACACAAAAGAGCCCTGTGGAAAAATAAACATCCAAAATAAAAAGTGCGTGAATGTGTGACAGACCTGTACAAAGACCACAGGGGAGCATGCACCTGCCAGAAGGCTAGATACAGCTGCGAAGTGGTGTCCATGTGATAACAAAGGTGTTGGTAATGATGATGAATTCTCCCTATGACAAATGACATGAAGTTAATGGTAAATGAGGAAAGGCATTCATTCTCCAGGAGATTGGGAGAGCTGCAAGTGGGAAGAGGTATTATGTTTGATGAATGAGTGGAATTTCAAAATTATATTGTTGGAAGCATTAAAGAAGCAGCTACATCAATGCAATTCTTGTCTTCCTTTACTTTGCTATTTGCTAGTTATTTGAGCTTTAGGCAAGTTACTGATCCTCTCTAAGATTATTCATACCTAACAAAGTGATATCACTAAGTTAACATTTTCATATAAGGATTGGATCATTTAATGTATATAATGTTCTTATATAAAGTTTTTATGTAAAGTTCTTCAACATTGGTCTTAGTAGTATCTTTTTGAATACCATGTCTCACCAGGCAAGGGAAACAAAAGAAAAAGTTAAAAAATCAGACTACATCAAACTAAAAATCTTCTGCACTACAAAGGAAACCATCAACAAAACAAAAAGACAAGTTAACAATGGGGAGAAGATATTTTCAAAGCATATATCTGATAAGGGATTAATATCCAAAATATATAAAGAACTCATACAACTCAACAACAAAAAAATAAACAACCTAATTAAAAAACGGACAAAGGATCTGAACAGACATTTTTCCAAAGAAGATATACAGATGGCCAACAGGCACATAAAAATATGTTCAGCCTTACTAATTATTAGGGAAATTCAAATCAAAACTGGAATGAGATATTACCTCACGCCCATCAGAATGGCTATAATTAAGAAGACAAGAAATAAGAAGTGTTGGACAGAATGTGGGGAAAAAAAGAACCTTCATACATTGCTGGAGGGAATGTAAACTAGTGCAACCACTATAGAAAACAGTATGGAGATTCCTCAAGAAACTAAGAATAGAATCACCATATGACCCAGCTATTCCACTTCTGGGTAATTATCCAAAGAATGTGAATGTGAAAAGATATTTGCACCCCTATGTTCATTGCAGCATTATTCACAATAGCCAAGACTTGGAAACAACCTAAGTGCCCATCAACCCATCAAGATGTCGTATATATACACAGTGGAATGCTACTCAGCCATAAAAAAGATGAAATCTTGCCATTTGCAACAACATGGAAGGAACTTGAGGGTATTATTCTAAGTGAAATAAGTCAGATGGAGAAAGTCAAATACCATACGATTTCACTCATAAGTGGAAGATAACAACAAACAAACACATAGATATGGAGATTAGATTGGTGGTTATCAGAGGGGAAGAGAAGAGGGAGGGGGGCAAAAGGAGTAATAGGGCACATGTTTATGATGCTGGATGGTAATTAGTCTTTGGGTGATGAACATGATGTAATCTGCACAGAAATTGAAATATAATTACATACACCTGAAATTAATATAATGTTATAAACCAATGTTACCACAACATTGGTTGAGGTAAAGTATGGAAAGAAAAGAAAAATAACAAATAAATAAAATTTTTAAAAAGTTCTTAGAATTACTTGGTACATAATTAATGCTTAATAATGATTTAATAATAATTGTTATTCCTTTCGCTTTAATCCATTCCTGTTCAATCAGGTGACTGTTCAAGGCTATTGGCTCCTTGAAGCATTATAATACCCATGACCTCATGATATTGTTTAAAATATCTCTCCTCCCATATAGCCCTTAAAATTATACCTTAAAAAGTTACTTTATTAAAAAATGATGTCTCCTTTTAAAAATTGTAGTTTTTCAGCTCTAAATTTCATTTACAAATTAATCCAAGTATCAACATGAACTAAGGAAAGCTGTTGGCTTTGAAGTCCTGCAGACCTGGTTTTGAATCCATCTTGGTCATGTAGCTGCATAATCCTAGACGAATTAAACTAAAGAACCTCACTTCTTCGTCTGTATAATGGTCACAATAATAAGTCCATCAGAATTGTGTGACAATTAAATAAGATCAGGCAAAAGGAAGAAAGCCAAGGACATACAAGATGCTCAAAGCATAGGAGAGTCTTCATTTTACTACAATTGTAAGAATACATGTTCAAAGAAAAATTGTTTATTAGTTGCCAAATCAAACTTTGCATTCTTTACAATGTGGTAAAATCTAGGTGACAAAATTATATTCTTGGAAAGATTAACAAGTCTATTTGTTTCCAATACAATATTTAATATCATTTAATCAGTATCTTTAGATAAATATGTTAATTTAGAAAAATACTGAACTACATAAATGTGTTCTGATTTTTTTAACAAGGTTTAAAACTTGAACTGTGCCTTTCCTGCTCAAAAGAGAATAGCAGGTATTCAAAACTCACTTTTAATCTTTTGTATTTTTTCTCACATTTTTTCTTATGACAAATACTTCTGCCATTTACGTCTGCCAAACTAGCAAGGATGACCTATTATGGACCTTACTGAAAATGACAGGAAGTTAGTGGGGTGGGCATACGTATAACATTCGTTCATATGACACCATAAACCATTTTATTTTAAACTGTCCAATAGACTAAACATGAAGTGCAAGAAAATTGATTTATTTATCTCTTCAATTCTCACGATATTTTATGAATCATGAAAGTGATTAAAACAGACCACCAACATATAAAAATTAAAAGAAAATTTCACAGATTTTAAAAAATTCTGTTATAAATGCAACTGTTTTCCAGATTGAGGGGAGAGGGGGATAAGATAGTGACTTTTTGTGTCATTCTTTCCCATCATTTTTCCCTTGAATGGACCTTTATTTTCTAGACCAAGATCTGTGGGTCAGCTATCAGCTGAGAATTATATGAAATTCTTGCCTGTGCTAAGTCATATGCTTCATACTTTATCAATCCGTGACAGCTGCCTCCCAGCATATGAAAGACTATTTGAATGTGTGATGTTTTCTTATTTTTTAGAGGTCCTGTAAGATGTTCTCCATTCCTCCTTTGCTTATTACCAGGCGATGACTAATAATCACTCTATGAAAAGTACCATGGGGAATAAGTTATGACTTGTTCACTCAACAAGATGAAAGACCCTCCCTCCTGAAAAACAGGTAAAACATTAGAATCAATACATGGTAATAGGTAAAACATGACATAAATGAGCTACAGAGTGCTATGGCTATGTGTAGGAGAAAGAGATTACTTTGAACTAAGAGGTCAAAAATAGCTACTCAAGAATGTTATTTAGGGCTTTGATAAATAAGAGGAACTGTCATAGGTAGACTTGAGAGAGCAGATTTTCTAAGTGGAATCATGAGTATGAAAAAATATATATATATAGAAAGGAAATAAAAATCTCTCATACCACAGGGGGCATTTGGATAAATCGTAGGAGATTATAGTGGAAAAATGTAATGATGGCAGATAGAACACAGGGAGACAAAATGAGAAACTTACCAGGAGGCTAGTTCACTAATCTATGTCAAGATGAAGCCATCAATTAGTGCCCAGCAGGAACTAAAAAGAGAAGAAAATTGCGAGAGAACCTGGAGATGTAAATTTGGAAAGATTTGACTACAAGCATAAGTAAATGCAAAGTTAAATAGGAGTCTTTGATGATGCCAAGGATTTTTTTCAGAATAACTAGAAGAAATATTATTTAATTCTCTGTTAATCAACTTTCTAATGATGCCTCTCACAGAAATCTCTGAGTACATGCAGTAGAAACCCAATTGCCTGGATGAAAACCTATATCCCACTTTCTTCAATATACCCCAAAGGCCAGGAAATAGTTTCCTTTTCTCTGGGCTAAATATTAAAAACTGTAGCTTAACTTTCCCATAGCCTGATAAGTAAAGAAGAAAATCTCTTAGAAAACCTTTAAAGTTATAGAGACAATATATTACTCTTTTAATTGAAATTTATACATTTATTTTATCTAATTGTGTTTAATTGAATCATAGAACTTGTATATATCACTATGGCAGGACATATGTTTTTCATTTTGCATTATTGATAATACTAAAATTCACATCTAATTAACATATGCTATTTGAATCCTATATTAAGACTACAGCTTAAATATCACAGTTATATAGAGAAGCATGTTCGTAGATATGGCCCATGACAAATATAATACTTTAACAGCCTTGCTCGTAATTGAGAGAACGTTTTCAACTTCCAGAAATACACAATTACCTGAGAAAGAATTCACTCCGTACATTAGCTCTTTTTTATTCCTCCTAGCCCTCATGGAGAAATCGTCTTCACTAAACATAACAAATGAGTTAAACCTATCAAACTCTTCTAATCATACCTTGCAGAGTTTTACCATCCTATATTCCCTAGAGAACAGCTGAAGTTAGAAATAAGAGCGTGTTCTCTCCTACCACCTAAAGGTATTTATGCCTTCTTTGGGTGTCACGTATCCACTACCCCCATGTACCTTATTAGGGCTGTAAGAGAGGGGGATTCTACCTGAGATGATGGTTACGTGCGAATGTCCCTGTGTATCTTCAGAGTTGCAGGGACACTATTAGATTACCAGTTTTCACAAACTTGATAGCTTTGCACCCTGTGAATATGACAAGTGTTTAGGTTCAATGTCCATCTCAGGATAAGACACACCATTCTGAAAATACACTACGCCCTCAGAAACCTAGTAAACATTACCAAAGCATGGCACAGCTCATCTGTGTTGGGGAATATGAGATGTTACAATTCGATCCAATCGAACAACTTGTTTTCGTGTTATTTGTTTATTAATATGTGCCTTTAGTTCATATTACATAAATATTTTAAATATTAACTTCATGTAAACAAAGTTATGAAAATAATTACATATTTATATACACACAATTTATTTGTAAGCCTACTTGTAAATTTTAAATTACTATAAAGTCTATTTCCATTCACAGTTTCTTTCTTACTACTTTTACTCCTATTTATTTTCTTTTAATACATTAGCAATTTAGATTTAACATTTATCTATCAAACACTAATTAATTTAAATGAGTATTTAGAATTGGTAAAGAAATGGGGCATTACGTGGATACAGTTCTTGTCCCAGATGAAGAAAAGTGGTACTCCATATTATGCCAGTTTACTGCACACAGACCCAGAGCCTTGTTGATACTTTAAAGCAGATACTGTAAAATGGTCATTAATTCAAATATATGTGGGCCAAGGTTTCAAGGCCTATATTTGTAGTTCAAAGATCTATAAGCCATGTTCCACCTTCATGAAAATGATAAAACCTCTTCTATATGCGACCCAGAGTACATCTTGAATTACTTTACTATGAGGCTTCCAGAATAAATTATTTTTTTAAGAATGCTGGTTAATTAGAAACTAGGGTGAAATGTATATTCAATTAAGGAAACATCTGACCAGTCTATGTCATGGATAGAGAGTCAGGGAGTGTTCCCAAGGGAACCTCTCAAGACAGTTCCCAAGGTCCTTATTCTGGAAAACAAGTTGTTTTGAACTTCCCATTTTAGTTTTTAAGTGAGGCTTAAAAATAAATCACAGCCATGAAATTTAAAAGATGATGTTCATTTTCTTCAAAGGCAAATCATTATAATATTTGTCTCTACCAATCAAGATAGAAATTCAAAAAATTTCTTTGTATAAGCATTCTGTTATATATAGTCCATTATGCTATTCTTGCTTTTATCAGAATGAACAAGTAGAAAATATCTCACATTAGAATTATTGTTAGCCCTCTCTGTTTCCCTCCCCTTGTTCGCTCCTTCCTTCTCCTTCTCTCTCCCTCTGTTTCTCTGTTTCTGTCTTTGTCTTTGTGTGTGTGTGTCTGTGTGCAGAGAGAGAGGGAGAGAGAATCCATGAGAAAGGCTGAGAAATAAGATCATATACACCTAAGTATGATACTACAACCTCTGAAAACTTCTCTGTCAATCAAAAAATTATTCAGTAGTAAGGTCATATAGACTACTAAGTGAAGGTGTGCTGATTGAAAATTAATTTTTAATTGTATTTTTGTAGATTTTTCTTTTCTTTCTCTTTAGTCTTAAAATTGAAATGAAAACAAAAACAGCAATTTTGCTGCCATTAAAATAGGATAAAATATTAGCTATATGGTGTATGTAATTTGGTGTTATATTCTTTTATAAGGTATCACATAACCAGTTGTCTTTGTTGTAAATATGAGAACCATTCCAAGAACTTTGCCTTTAACAAGAAAGGTAAGCAAGTTGTGCTGTGCATCCATAGATAATTCCCCATGATGAGTTTCATGTTTATCTAACTGCCAGTGACAATGTATGTAACTCATGTTACTCAATACTAAAGTGGCCTTTTCAATAAAGTAAATCAAAAGAATACCATTATTCCTAATAAATCCATTATCGTATGTGCCATTCTGAAATTTTTATATTGAGCCCTTATAATGCACAAGCAATATGTTAGTCTTCAAAAACTTTTAAATAGTGTCTCCCTGGCTGTCACTGGGAAGATATTTGCCAGATATGTGAGCTATTGAATTTCCAGTAGGATAAGTTTGAATATGGAAATCCATAACTTGGGATCGATAAATAAAACTAATATGAAATAAGTATAATGATACATCCTAAGCTGAGAAATTGAAAAATATACATAGATTTATAAGGCAAAAGTGGCTGCTATTGTTGGGAAATGTCATTTTGTGATTATAAATTATTCATATTTACTATCTACATTGATCAAATTTACCAAGTAATGGCTACTCTGGTTTACATATGTTTGAGAAAGCCAGAGAGTCTATAAGAAATCTGGCCAGGAAATAAAACCTTGGTGTCCTTGTCACTGGATCATGAAATTGCTGTGCTAATGAATAATAAGGCAGATAGGGCAGAGGCCACAGAAGAAGGACTAATATTTATTTAACAATTTCCTAAATTTCAGCACTCATAAATATACATTCACTTACCTGCTGGGTTTAAAGTACGTACAGTTGTTACATATTGACTCCAATTCTCATTGCATAATGTAGTAAGAACACAAAGAATTTCCAACGTATCATCGATGCCATTTAAATATCCTAAGCAGGAATTAACAGGACCCCGGATACTACTCTAAGTGTAAAAAGCATGTGCCATAATAAAAATATTTTGAATGGCAGACAATTTCAATATAAAGCAATACTGTATTCCTCAGAGTCTTTTGTATACTTACAGGTCATGCTGAGTTCTGAGCAGAGTGGGGTCATTGTCCCCTTGTAACTCTGGCCCCATCATCTACCCAACTGAACCAGATTACTTGCAGAGCCTTAAGTGTACCGTCATATTTATACTTCCGTCTTCCACATATGTTGTTCTTTCTGCCTGAACCACTCTTATAAAACTCTTTCATCTACTTCAGTCTTATTTTGCTCCCAGTACCAGCAGAATCTGTGGCACACACTGGAATTTGTTGTTTCTCTGATACAACTTTTTTATTCTCTAGACACCTCTATCATGTAATTAACCATAACGCATTTTAAATAATATTTTATTTATATACTGTTCTCAATGTTTTCCGAAAGGAAAAGCTTTCATGTTTGTATCCCCAATTAGTTTATTGAATAAATGAATAAATAAGTGAATGGGTGAGTTATATACAATATAATCTTCTAGTGCTTTATGTTTCTTGATATCTTTGTTTAATTTTAATCTACAAACACAATGATTCTTCCTAATATTTTTTTTTTTTGAGGAAGGTTAGTCCTGAGCTAACTGCTGCCAATCCTCCTCTTTTCTCTGAGGAAGACTGGCCCTGAGCTAACATCCGTGCCCATCTTCCTCTACTTATACGTGGGACACCTACCACAGCATGGCATGCCAAGCGGTGCCATGTCCGCAACGGGGATCCGAACCAGCGAACCCCGGGCCACCAAAACAGGATGTGTGCGCTTAACCACTGCACCACCAGGCCGGCCCCTCTTCCTAATATTTTAATGCATATATATTTTTAATAATGTTCTATAATAATTAAAATTTTTAACTTTGGAGACATTTGCGCTATTCTCATCATCATGCTAATTACTTTACCTGCTTTATCTAATGTAGTCCTCCCAATAATCTCCTAAGGTGGCTGCTGTTAATTATCTCCATGTTCGAGATGATAAAGTGAAACT